TTCACACTCCAGGATGTCTGGCTCTAGGTGAGTGATCACACCACTGTGATTATCTGGGTCATGAAGATCTTTTTTGTACAGTTCTTCTGTGTATTCTTGCTACCTCTTCTTAATATCTTCTGATTCTGTTAGGACAATAAGGAGAGAAGTGGTATAGACCTATCTTTTCATGAAATATTCGCTTGGTATCTCTAATTTTCTTGAGGAGATCTCTAGTCTTTCCCATTCTATTATTTTCCCCTGTTTCTTTGCACTGATCACTGAGGAAGGCTTTCTTATCTCTCCTTTCTATTCTTTGGAACTCTGCATTCAAATGGGTATATCTTTCCTTTTCTCCTTTGCTTTTTGCTTCTCTGAGCTGAGACATGGAAACAACCTCGACATCCATTGACATGAATGGATAAAGAAGCTGTGGTGTGTGTATATAAATATATACACACATGTATACATATATACACGTACATACACACACACACACACACACACACCAGAATATTACTTAGCCAAAAAAAGTGAAATAATTGCCTTTGCAGCAACATGGATGAAGCTGGGGATTGCCATACTAGGTGAGACAGGTCAGAGTGAGAAAGACTGTAGACCCAAGCCCAGGGCTGGCTGTTGCGCTCCTTTGTGCCGCCTCTCCACAGGCAACATGAGATACTTGTTTAGCATGAGCTCTTTCATGTGTTTTCAAAAACAGAAGTTTTCTCCAGTTTGAAGGATCCATCTGGCCACTGACAGACAGGGTCTTAATGGTGACTGTAACCTGCAACCCTTTTTATGGCTTAACCAGGAATGACCACAAGAAGTGTCCCAAAAGAGTACAAAAGACATAGCTTTCACAAGGTCCACAAAGTTTCCTCACAGAACTAGCCAAAGAAGGCAGAGCCCTGCGTGGTCAGAGGCAGTGAGAATGGGGTGGGGAAGACGGAGTCTCCCGTCTCCCACCAGAGTGCATGATGCTGCAGTTGCAGACCTGCCCATCACCACATGCACAGGAGCTACTGGCGTGGGACTCCCCTGCGCCAAGAAGACAGTGACGCTTGAGCCAGCAAAGGCCCCTGCGGGCTGGGGCACCGTGAGGCAGACGCCCTATGAGCTGGCACAGTGACCGAGAGAGCGCTGCTTCTCGCTGTCTCAGACCCTGAGTTTTCCTGTTGCCCATCAGATGCAAGCTGATACTTAATCTTCTGGCTGGCTTCTCTCTGGTTAAGCCACAGAGAGTCACAAACCCATACCAGCCACAAAGCCAAGCTCTCAAGACACAGAACAAGACAAGAGGAAACCTCACCTGTTTAAATACAGGGGACCCACTGCAGAGTGTGTCTAAATAAATGCACGTCTTTTAGAACCATGAACTCACCAGTCTGTGAGGCCAGTGGGCTTGAACAATTGACGTAAATTAGAACCTATCCCTGGTAACTCAGCTGGTAAAGAATCTGCCTGCAATGCAGGAGACCCTGGTTCGATTCCTGGGTTGGGAAGATCCCCTGGAAGACAGCATGGTGACCCACTCCAGTATTCTTGCCTGGAGAGTCCCCATGGACAGAGGAGTCTGGCGGGCTAAAGTCCACCGTGTGGCAGAGACTTGAACGCAGCTAAGCACACACTGCATCTCTCTCTGGTTTTCCTCCTCGTGAGACGTGACGCAAAGGCCAGAGCCGGACGCAGACAGTAGCCGTGTTTGGGGAGAACTGGATCAACAGAAGACAAGAGTACTCAGAAGGTGTCTCTCCCAGAGTCGCTGTAGCTAAGGCGCTGCTGCTGCTAAGTCGCTTCCATCGTGTCCGACTCTGTGCGACCCCACAGACGGCAGCCCACCAGGCTCCCCATCCCTGGGATTCTCTGGGCAAGAACACTGGTGGGGCTCTAGTTCACACAAAAATTTTTCTCCTGCATCTGAATTTAGAAAAGGACTCTCCCCACCCTCACTTCCACCGAACCTGCAGGCAGAGACCCAGGAGACTGATATAAGGATTCTGACCCTTGACTGGCTCTTCTCAGGGGTCCCAGGATCTCCCACCCACAGCCAGGGGAGCCCCCCAATTGCACCAAACTGCAGGGGTAGCAAAAACTTTCCTTCTGGGTTCTTTGGCTTGTCTGTAATTGACTGACATAGGATGTTAACAGGTGATAAACTAATTTTGTAGATACAGGACCCCCATAAAAACAAGACCCATTGGCAGTCAGTGAGCTGAGGCCTCTGTAGTGTCCTGAACTGAGGGAAGGGATGGGGCCTGAAGCTTCAGAGGTGAAGAGGGCAGCTCACAAGGAGATGAGAGGAGCAGCTGTTCACCCCGCCAACGATAGCAAAAGCCATGTCTGCTAGTGGCTCTGTCTGGTGCGGGCCGCAGTCTCAGTTCCGTAAGGCAGTGAGAGAGAGGCAGGACGCTTTCCCGGGTCTGCTGCGTCTCCGTGCCCTTCAGCTCAAGATAACCCGCGTGCCAGAGTGGCTCACTGGGGGGCCGTATTCTGCTCCCCTTCAACAAGATACGTGCTTACTGTAGAAAAATCAGAAAACAAAGGGGAAAGAAAACCACCAGCAGATTCCCTAAACCTCACTACCTCCCAGATCTCACTTGTACGCTTGTTTTCTGTTAATAAAATAAGACACTCTGCACATACTGCTGTATCGAAGTCCCCCATCCACCCCACACATCTTTAACATTCTGTCACATTTTAAACACATTTACTGTTTTGTCACTTCATATCGTACAGCTGTGGCGTGACATCCAGTTTTTGGACTTTATCACATTGCTCATAGTGAAAACCTTTCTCCTACCTGTGTTTGCACATATCCTTAATTATTTCACTGGGACAGGAGTTGTTGCATCAGTTCACTCACATTTTTTTTTAACGCTTTTGAAATCATTCATATCGTACAGCTGTGGCGTGACATCCAGTTTTTGGACTTTATCACATTGCTCATAGTGAAAACCTTTCTCCTACCTGTGTTTGCACATATCCTTAATTATTTCACTGGGACAGGAGTTGTCGCATCAGTTCACTCACATTTTTTTTTAACGCTTTTGAAATCTACTGCCGAAGTGTCTTTCAGAAATGTGTGTTGCGATAGTAATGTAATTATAGTACCAGCCTCGCCATGCCCTAATGTTAAATGTTTTAGTATTCCTCTAAACTTGGCCAGTTTCGAGAACAGTTGTATGTATCTTAAAATTTTACATTTCTCTGATTAAAATATAGCAGTTGATCATTGTCATTCGTATTTTCCCTTTTCTAATTTGTTTATTCATCCTCTTTGTTCCTTTTCTATTGGAGTGTTCAACTTTTAAAAACTCTTATAAGAACTGTCTTTGTTTCTTAAAAACTTGTTTGCAGCAATCCATTGTTTTATGTTTTGTAAATTCAGCATTTATAAGTATTAAATGTTATCTTTTTTTTTAATCAGGTATGAAAGCTTTCAAAATCCAAAGAAGAGAAAAAATCAAAGTGGAACAGTGTTTCGACCTGGACAGAAAGTAACCCTGGCCTAAAACATACTCCTGACTGTGTGTGTGTGTGTGTCCCTGTGTTACAACAATGGACGTGTCATCTGTACATTTCTTTTAATTTAACTTGTTAATCTATAAAATCAGATTGTTAAACCTGTTATCTAATGGTCAGGAGTACTTGACAGTAATACTCTAAAATAAATTGAGATATTTATAACAGATTCTGTACTTTATTTCCTATATATGTAAATTCTTACTGAAATAATATTGGCCACATAGAATAACTGATTTTTTTCTCCTTTGAAGAAAAGAGAATGTAATTAAATACATTTCTTAGAATTCGCGATTGCATATTCAACATCTTTCTTTCATTTGATAAGTTTTATGCTTAACACCTTGATTATTTTGGAAATAAAAAATTCAGTTATCTACTGATCCAATGATCTGTTCTTTTTATCTGCAAATGTAGAATTTGCACACAATTTAAACAAACTGAGTTGTTCCTTCAATCAGAAGTGAAATGACATCCCCTAACATAAACTACGTCCAGCTGCCAGGCCAGGAGCTTGAACGATGTACAGTCCTCCCCGCCAGCTCCGTGACAGGTCTGTCCTGCCGTGCTCTCTGAACTAAACTGTAATGTCACTACCATCAGCACAAGCTGTATGTCGTAATGTGGTGAGGGGAAAGGAGAAAGGTCAGTAGACTACGCAAATAAACACATGAGAGCAAATAGAAATGTATCGGCTATAACCACTGCCCTTTTTGCAGCTAATTGTTTGGTCATGGCTGATAGGTTTCATTTCTCTCTTCCGTTATTTATTCCATGTTCCTCTGACATCAGCCCTCACGTTAGTGGCTTAGAAGCTTCCCCGGTAGCTCAGCTGGTAAAGAATCTGCCTGCACTGTGGAAGACCTGGATTCGATCCCTGGCTTGGGAAAAAATCCCTGGAGAAGGGAATGGCACCCCACTCCAGTATTCTTGCCTGGAGAATCCCATGGACACAGAAGCCTGGTGGGCTACAGACCATAGCATCACAAAGAGTAGGACACGACTGAGCAGCTAGCATTTAGTGGATTAGAGGCCTTCACTAAGTAGGGTGGTCTAAGCTGTCATTTCCATCTTCGCCTTTGGTGACCTAAGATTGCAGGTGTCCTCCATTCAATTAACTGTGCACACTCAGTATGACAAGGGTGCACACTCAGTGTGACAAGGGCCCAGCCATTCTCCTCCCATCACCCGTCGTGTAGCGTCAGCCATAGAGTCACTCAGCCAGCATGGTAAATCCTCCCCCTTCAAACCCCTGGAATCATCACCGTGTTCCCTTCCCAGAAGCATGCCTCCTTTGTTTACCTCTAAATCCACAAAGCCCAGAAGCACAAGAAAGGCAAGCAAAGATGTTCAGTCACTAGGAATTAACTGAGACATGTCATTCTCCCTTGCACTTTGGTTCCCAGCTCCTCAGCGCCTTCTGTTAAGGCCATGGGCCTTAATACAGTATATATACTGTGTACTGCATCTTGCAGAAAGGAATTCCAACTTCACAGTCAGTTATGTCCCCAGAAGCCCAGCTGTTTCCAGGTGAGGGGAATTTACATTAAGTCTAGGGAATTCACTATAAAGCGAGTTTTGTGATCAGGAGCAAATGCCATAAGGGATAGTGTAATAGTGTGAGAGTGTGTGGTGAGTCCGTGAAAGAAATGCTGCACTGTATGAAGCACAAGCTGGAATCCGGATTGCTAGGAGAAATATCAATAACCTCAGATATGCAGATGACACCACCCTTATGGCAGAACATGAAGAAGAACTAAAGGGCCTCTTGATGAAAGTGAAAGAGGAGAGTGAAAAGGTTGGCTTAAAACTCAATATTCATAAAACTAAGATCATGGCATCCGGTCCCATCACTTCATGGCAAACAGATGGGGAAACAATGAAAACAGTGACAGACTTTATTTTGGGGGGCTCTGCAAAATCACTGCATATGGTGACTGCAGTCATGAAATTAAAAGATGCTTGCCCCTTAGAAGGAAAGTTATGACCAACCTAGACAGCATATTTAAAAGCAGAGACATTACTTTGCCAACAAAGGTCCATCTAGTCAAACTTAATGGTTTTTCCAGTGGTCATGTATGGATGTGAGAGTTGGACTGTGAAGGAAGCTGAGCACAAAAGAACTGATGCTTTTGAACTGTGGTGTTGGAGACGACTCTTGAGAGTCTCTTGGACTGCAAGGAGATCCAACCAGTTCATCCTAAAGGAAATCGGTCCTGAATATTCATTGGAAGGACTGATGATGAAGCTGAAACTCTAATACTTTGGCTGCCTGATGTGAAGAACTGACTGATTTGAAAAGACCCTGATGCAGGGAAAGATTGAAGGTGGGAGGAGAAGGGGCTGACAGAAGATGAGATGGCTGGATGGCATCCCTGACTCAATGGACATGAATTTGAGTAAACTCCAGGAGTTTGGTGATGGACAGGGAGGCCTGGCGTGCTGCAGTCCATGGGTCGTAGAGAGTCAGACATGACTGAGCGACTGGACGGACTGACCGACGGAACCTGGCTCCCCAGGTTGCTCTAGCAATAAAGCATCTGCCTGCCGATGCAGGAGACCTCAGAGACTAGGGTTTGATCCCTGGGTCGGGAAGATCCCCTGGAGGAGCACATGGCAACCCTCTCCAGTGTTCTTGCCTGGAGAAGCCCATGGACAGAGGGGCCTGGCAGGCTCTAGTCCTTGGGGTCACAAAGAGTCAGACATGAGTGCTGCTTAGCCTAGCACCCAAGGTCTCTACCTCCAAATATATTCTTTAGATTTTGCATGTAAAAGGCAGATACATAGTGCTTGTCTAAGCCTTCTCCTTCTACACTTGACTTATTACTGTCTCCCTGGGGCATGTAGTAGGGACAGGACAATAGAAGGAGCTTCCTTTTACAAGGCGGATCCCACACAGATGGAGGTGATTTGGGTATTCAAGCAAGGGACACTGGCTGGGTCACTATCAAGCAAGATTTCAAAAGGCTGGGGATAAAAGGGACTCCAGTTTTATTGGGACAGTAATTGGGACATGCCAATTACCAGGATTCAACTCTTTTCCAGTCAATACCTAACTTTTTCATAAGAGATCTAAAATGGCTATGAACTCAACAAATAATGCCATCCAGTAAACTGTGGTATCAAACTCCTGTTTGTGTGTCAGAATTTGGCACAAAAATATAGAAAAATGGAACGGAATAGGAAGCCCAGAGATAAACCCACACACTTATGGTCACCTGCTCTCTGACAAAAGAGGCAAGAACATACAACAGATAAAAGACAGTGTCTTCAATAAGAAAATGGAAAATGGAACAGCTATGTGTAATAGAATGAAATGAGAACATTCTCTAACAGCATATGCAAAAATAAACTCAAAATTGAGAGAACCCTTTTACACTCACTATTAGTGGGAATGTAAATTGGTACAGCCACTACAGAGAACAGTATGGAAGCTCCTTAAAAAACTAAAAATAGAACCACCGTATGATCTAGCAATCCCACATCTGGGCATATATCTGGAGAAAAGCATGCTTTGAGAAGATACATGTCCCTCAGTGTTCATTGCAGCACTATTTACAATAGCCAAGACAAGGAAGCACCCTAAATGACTATCAACAGAGCAATGGATAAAGACGACTTGATATATACATACAGTGGAATATTACTCGGCTATAAAAAGAATGAAACAGGCTGTGGGAGGAACCCCGGTGGGGCCAGGACTTGACCCAGGACCACTTCTGCCCTTGTCGTCTGAGGGGCCCCTTCCTTAAAGATTCCAGGGAGAAGCTCCAGCCTCTGCCGGGCGTTATGGTCACTGAGTCACCTGCCCACTTGCCTGCTGCCTTTGTTGAAAGTCATCATGCCTCGGGGTCAGAAGAGCAAGGCTCGTACCTGTGAGAGACACCGCCAGGCCCAAGTTGAGCCCCAGAATCTGGATGTTCAGAGAGCCACAAGTAGTTCATCCCTGGGTCCATCCATAGAGGCCATATAGAGGAGAAGGTGGTTATAAGGGTGTAAAAATGGAAGCAAGCTGCGATACAAGGCTGAGAAATCGATGCAAGGCTGAGATTCCCAAGACAGGCCTGCTGATGGCTGTTCTGGGTGTGATCTTCATGCAGGGCAACTGTGCTAGTGAGGAGCAAGTCTGGGAAATCCTGAATGTGATGGGGTTATATAAGGGGAGAAAGCACTTCATTTTGGGGGTGCCTAAGAAGCTCATTACCAAAGATTTAGTGCAGAAGTACCTGGTGTTCAATAGTGATCCTCCATGCTATGAGTTCCTGTGGGGCTCTAGAGCCCACGCTGAAACCACCAAGATGAAAGTGCTAGAGTTTATGGCTAAGATCCATAATGTGGTCCCCACTGCCTTCCCATCCTTGTATGAGGAGGCTTTGAGAGATGAGGAAGAGAAAGCTGAAGCTAGAGCTTCAGCCAAGGCTCGTATTGCCACCCTGGCCAGGGCCCGCTCCAGTGCCTTAGCCAGCAGTTCCTTCCGCTCCAAAAGAGTTGAGGCAGATTCCTTACTTTGTTGTTAAAAAGAAGTTCACGTTCTAAGTAGCAGAAGGTTGGGGCGGGGTTGCAGACAATACTGTGCGTAACATATTTGCGTTTTTGTGTTCTATGCAGTATCTTGGAAAATTTTAAAAATATTGTTCCTTTTAATAGAAGATTGAAGTAGCTTTGTAATCCAGACTTCTGAGTGATATTGCTCAAACACTGATGCTATGGGTGAGATCTAAGAGTTTTATTGTTTGTATAACTGGAAAAGTTCCACCTTACTTATTAATTTGGAATAAGATAACATGGCAATGGATGAGGCATTACTTTGGAAATGTGAAAAATTCAGCATTGTAATAGTTGTGGTCAAGAAATGCATAAATAAAAGATAAAAGTTCTTGGTTTCAAAAAAAAAAAAGAAACAATGGCATTTCTAGCAACATGATGGAAAAAGAGTTATGACTAACCTAGACAGCATATTAAAAAGCAGAGACATTATTTTGCCAACAAAGGTCCGTTTAGTCAAAGCTATGGTTTTTCCAGTAGTCATGTATGGATTTGAAAGTTGGACTGTAAAGAAAGCTGAGTGCCAAAGAATTGATGCTTTTGAACTGTGGTGTTGGGGAAGACTCTTGAGAGTCCCTTGGACTTCAAGGAGATCCAACCAGTCTATCCTAAAGGAAATCAGTCCTGAATATTCATTGGAAGAGCTGAAGCTGAAACTCCAATACTTTAGCCACTTGATGCAAAGATCAGACTCATTGGAAAAGACCCTGATGCTGGGAAAGACTGAAGGCGGGAAGAGAAGGGTATTACAGAGGATGAGATGGTTGGATGGCATCACCGACTTGACGGACATGAGTTTGAGTAATCTCTAGGTGTTGGTGATGGAGGGAAGCCTGAA